ACACACACACACACACACACACACACACACACACACACACAAATGTAGTAGTGATGGCCGAGCTTTCTTTTTCCGTGTCTCAGTTCAGAGCTCACTTACAGTAGCTAGCAGACTTCCCTCTGTGCTCTATGCAATTACCAACACGTCCCAGTTTGAAGAGGCCTTGTCTGTTTGCTGAATTTGACAGATACGTTTTTGTCTGCCGGAAGCTTTGCAGTCTTATTATTGTGTGATCATAGGTTAAAATATTTGGCATTCATGCATCAGGTGATTACTGATATCCTGCTGAATAGTCTTAATCTCAGCAGCCCCGTTTTCTAGTGAACTTGGCATCGCCTTTGAGTTACATGCCGTTTCAAGTAAATCCAAGCCACAGAAAAAAGTTTATTGATCTGTTGCGGTTCATCTGATTTGTTACCTAAGCATTTAATAGTATTGCACACCAAATACCTACAGTGTTTCTTTTTTTTTTTTTTTTTTTTTTCCCCAATGCGTGAAAACCCGGAGCTTTTACTTTTCTGCTCTTGCCTATTAAATGACATGAATAATGATTTACAGTGATTTCCCTACTTCCCCTTCAAAATCGCATAGAATATTTTTGTGTGGAATCTCTATCCATGTACTTTTCGTATTGCTGTGGGCGATGGAGTGTAAGAGGAAAAAAAAAATATTTACATGATGTTCATGAAGTAATGCTCTTGTAGAGTATGACACATCTACCCTATATTACACTAGATGTGTGTTTGTTTGTATTGTGCAAAGTATGGGGTAATAAAAGCTGGTACTGAAATATGTCGTCGGTTTTATGAAAGTAAATTCTTCACATTTAACTTCAGCTGATATCATACACTAAACAGACACTTTACTGCATGAACATGTTTCTAGTGCACTAGTAAATTGACCCTCGTTAAGATCGCTGGAGCTTTGTGGTACACTGATGTCTGTGGTCGTAAAAGGATTGACATGGTCAGCAACAATACTCAAGTAGGCTGTTGCATCTAAATGATGCTCAGTTAATATTAGGGAGCCCAAAGTGTGCCAATTCAATATCCCCCACACCATTACACCACCACCAGAAGCCTGAACCACTGATACAAGTAGGTCGGATCCATGCTTTCATGTTGTTTACACTACCACCATCCGAATATTGTAGAGGATCATCCGACCCGGCAACATTTTTCTGTTTTTCTGCTGTCCAATCTTGGTCGTCCTATGTCAATTACAGCCTTGGTGTTCTGTCATTTAACTAACAGGAATGCCAACTTTAGCCCATTTGCTTCGATGTTTGATGTGTGCTGCATTCAGAAATGCTCTTCTACATATCTTGTTATTTGAGTAACTTACCTTCCTATCAGCTCAAAGCGTCTGGGAATTTTTGTGTGACTGGCACTCACTGTATATTTTCTCTTTTTATTTTTTTTCCTTTGTAAACTGGAGTGGAAAAATCCCAGTAAATCAGCAGTTTCTGAAAATCAGATTTGATTATTAGAGATTCCCCTTAACAAACTGTTGAATAGGTCCACCTAACAACGTGGGAGTTGAGTGTGTTTGATTAAAAATACTCACCCTATTTATTTAAAACTAAAAAAAAGTCGATGTGGTGAATGCCATGCCACACGTTTGTGTAATCTGTACCAGGGGGCGCCACAATGCAATAATACAAAACTACACATGCACAAATAAATGTATCTCATTATAACCTCGAAAAAACTCAGTTTGGGCAACAGGTGCTTGATGTCAGTGACTTTGCAGCCTGTTGTCACTGCACTGGTTACTCACAAGTACTTAAAATATTTTTTCTTTTCTTTTTTTTTCAAATTACAGATGCAATTGTGTTTTGTGTGTTGACCCATGTATGTTTTTTTCAGGCCAGTAAGTAGGACTAGATGCTAATGCTGCCACACTAAGACACCCAGGAACAACAAAGCACAAAACTACATGTTTTTAACTACAAATCTGTGGGCAGGAGTATTATTATGTTTATGGATTCTGTATTATTTCATGCTAAATCAGCAAAGGTGGCCGGCTTTAGTAAAGTACCACCAAAAAATACAAATAAAAAATTACCTGTTAAGAAGAATCCGGGGGGTAAAATGACCATGAGGTAAATCTCTCTGATGATACTCGTAATAATAGTGCTGACTGGTATTATTTGCACAAAAGAATTGCTGTTGTTGTAGAGTTTACCATATTTAATCTGCTTTGCTTATTTTGAGAAACATGTGTTTTGTTTCCCTGTTTCTCCTAACCAAAGTAGACCGAGATAGCACCAAAATAAGAAACAGTGGTCACCAGCAAGTCAACCGTCAAACCCTTTTTGTTTTCACTGAAACCCTTAAAAGCCACAGTGTCCTGAATTAAACTCATGTGAGTTATGCATCTTGCACAGAACTTATGCACATGAAGGCGGGAGTAGGTGAGAAACACCCTACGTGCTTATACGAGCTGTAAACTCATAACAATGATGATGCTTTAAAACCTATTAGCGCTGCTCTGATTCAGAAAGATGGCATCTACATTATTTCTTCTCCACCACCTAATGAAAGTTGTGTTTCAAAAAAAAAAAAATCCTTGCCCTATATTTGCATGTAGTCGCGTGCTTGTGGTGCAGCTAAAGAGTAAACAAGACAGGGATTGAGAACCGCTGGTTGGTTCGGATAGGATGCACAAGCTAAGCTGCTGTACAACAGACTGACAATAAATCACAGCAGCAGGCACAGGAAGTGGTAACTTGTATGTACCAAGCAGAGACTCTTGCACTGCCGAGAGAAGTCACAGCACTTTCCCACAGTATGGGGCAATAGTTAATTCAGAGTAGTGAAGCTGGTGAAGAACAGCTTCCTGCTCACTGACAAGGCATCAAAGGGGTTTTCTCAGTTTCACTAGCAACGCAGAAGCTTCTGGTTTTCTACAGAATCACGAAGCAGGCATTTGCTGGTGCTGGTGTTGCTGGTGGGGAGAGTTTCAGATTGTAAATGTCCTAAAACAAAGATGGTTGGACTTTTAGGGGAAGAAAAGACTGCGGCAATCTACGCTAATCTCAGGTTTCGATGTTAGCGCTGGCATATTTACACCCACATGGTATCCAGTAACTACAGAGCAGTGTAACATTCCTGTTCAATCTTGCCCTGAACTTGTACTAGTGTGATTTAGCAGTCATTTATCACAAGCCATATTTGATCACTATTTGTCCTGCAGGTGATGTTAATGTAAGTGTAAAGGTGTATGGCCGTGTATTGATAGCTGAGATATTACATTTGTCTGTTAATCCATCCATGTTGCTTGGATTTGTTAAACAAAAGACAAACTCAACAACGCTGCCGTCTCTCAAGATTTCTGAATCACCCCAGTAACCATAATGTGGCAGAATCATAACACCGTGGAACCAGTAGGTATGTTTTATTTGACATTGTTACATCAACTGCTGCTTCCAGGTTGGTTCCCTTCTCTCATATCCTTTGTCTCTGCCTTTATGTCCGTGACGCCGGCTACCTCACTGTCACTGTGGGAACATTGTTGTAAAAAGGTTAGGCCTGCATATCTCAGCTTCCCGGGCCCGCTCGATGTCACTCAGTAACTGGCAGTTGCTAAGAGATGACACAGATGACGACAAAGAGATACTGGAAGCAGCTTTTAGTCACTTCTGAGAATAACTGCTTAACGCAGTTGTTTTCTATCTCGCTTTTTCTGTGAAATAAAATGGCACATACATGCTGAGTTCACAAAACAACTCAAAGTTTGCCTCTCTGCGCTACGAGGATCTCCAGTTGTAAGTGTAACACACATAATCCTGGTTTAGCTGAAGTGATTGGGAGGTTTTTCCCCCTCTTATTCATTCTGTTGACTAATCTACCCCCATCAATCAGAGAGAAGTCAGGTTGTCATATGAATCTGTTGCTTATGTTTTGTGACTTTGTCTATCACGGTGGAAATTTATTTCACGCTACAAAACTTAACACAGAAACTACACTGTTTACTTTGCTTTTACAAATGGGACAATCCTCTGTTTCTGGACTTTCTGTGATTTTTCATGCCTTTTTGTTATGTTGACATGAATAGGTATCAAAACAACATGTTCAAAGTCTTTTATTCCCACAAGGGATGATTGGTTTGAGAGATCTAGTATTTTTTTGTTTCAGGTTGTATACATGGTCATTCCAGGGTGTTTTCCCTGCTTTATATTCTTCAGAGTTGGAGATATAGAAACGGTAGCAGAATGTGCCACGTCTGGTTTTCTGTTCTACGCATCTCCCACCAGATGATGCTGGGAATATCCCACAGACTGCAGCATGACATCAGCAGTTGACTTCTAGGCACATCTCAGAGCCTCAGCGTTTTGGCATGATGCGCTGTATTGGTGCAATATGCAGACACATGAGCAAACGCTTGGTGACAGTGAGAAGTAAAAGCTCCTCCAGCAGAACTAGACCCAAGGAGGGGCAGCCATGAGCAGTTGGGGTGATGGAAGGAAGACAGAAAAGAAGGCACACTGTGGAAGAGAGCCAGAGATGGATAATAACTTATAAGGAAATGCAGAGTAATGTGTAAACGAATAGAAAGTGAAAAAGGTAAGTGAAGAAGAAACACTCAGTGCCTCATGGGAACCCCCCAGCAGTCTGGGCCTTAAAAGTCGAGAAGTGTCTGTATCTGAAATCCAGTCTGGGAGCTGGTTCCAAAGAGAGGGGCCTGGAAGCTGATTTTTAGAGCCCAGTACAATAACTTCAGTTTTATCAATCACTAAAACTAAAACACAAATGTTTCTCTGATCATTTTGGATAAAATACTCCGCAAGTGAAAACACGGATGAGAAATCCAGCTCAGTGGTTCAGATTGGCACAGGTAAGGCTGAGCTGGCAGCTGCTGGTTGCTCCTATATTCAGCACACCACTGAAAGTCAGCCTTGGAAGTTTCTTCTTTCCATTTGTGTGTGTTTCAAAAGCAGGTCAGTACTGACGGTTGGCCTGAACAAACCCC